TCTCTGTCTCTCGTCTGTCTCTTTCTCTCTCTGTCTATCTCTTTCTCTGTCTCTCTGTTTCTCTCTCTCTCTCTCTGTCTCCTCCCCCTCCCCCATTGTTTTGACATTACCAAGGCCCTTATCAAAGGTTTGAGAACGTTTGAGTGCCAGGTCATCCTGGGAGTGGAAAGGACCAGAAGAGAGTGAGGCATCTGTTTATCTGTAGCCTTGGGAAGCTAGGATAGTGTGACAGAGGTTGGAAAGATGGGTAGATCGGGAAGTCAAGATATTGAATTCTGTTTTGGTCATGTTGAGTTTGAAATGAGGATAAGACATCTATTTTGAGGTCTGATAGGCAATTGGTGATGTGAGCCCAGAGTTCAGGGAAAAGATTGGGGCAGAACATTTAGATCTGGAAGTCATCTATATGGAGGTGATAGTTGAACTCAAGGAAGCTGATGGTCATTTAGAGAGAGAAAAGAGGGCCCAGGAGATCCCTGGGGAACACTCGTGCATAGGAATGGGACAGGTATGGTGGTCCAGCAAAAGAAATTAAGAAGGAATAGGCAGGTGGGAGCAGAACCGGCAGAGGACAGGGTTGTGGAAACCCGGTGAGGAGAGTATGTGTAGGAGGAGAAAGGAGGGGAGTGGTCAGCAGGATGGCGTCTTGCTGTTCTTTCCCCTGCCTACCTTCTGTAGTTCAGTCTGATCATAAATTCATAGGATTTAGAGCTGGAAGGGTCCTCAGAGATGGTCTACGGTCTAGGCCACTTCATTTTACAGAGAAGTAAGTGGAGGCCCCAAAGGGTTAAGTGATCCACCCAAGGGACAGGTAGTACATCCTCAAAGTGTCAGAGCTACATTTCTATCTGTGGTCTTCCAATTCAAAATCCAGTCCTTTCCTACTGTCTTTGGCTGCATTTTATTCCATTTTAAGTGTGGGAAACAAAGATTTGGCTCCAGTTTGGACAGGCTTGATCAGGTTTTTGTTAGTTTGACTTCTACTGTTTGGCATCTCGCTCAGCAAAGAAACAAAATGGCGGTTTAATTCTGTGTTGGGTTGATGGGGTTCATTCTGATTCTTGGTTTAGGGACTGGTTTTCTAGCGTCTGCCTGCAGATGAATCAAAGTTTGGAGATTCCCTTCCCTGGTAAACATAACCTGCTTTCTCTAAGGATTTGGCCACCATTTTTCCTGTGAGTAGGGTGGAAAGAAGATGGAATCATTCCTCCAATGGGAAGTCTCAGTCATTTCTAGGAGAACCACTTTGCCTGGTGCTGTCTGTCCCTTCCTCCTTCAACTCTTCACTGAGGCTCTTCTTGTTGATGGCTTAGAAGTGTTTGTTCTTTGCCCAGCATGCATCCTAAACCTAGAGGGCCTCTCAGGGGATGATCGCACCTGGAAGATGATAATTCAGATAGGGAAAACACAGGAACTAGTCTTTCAGGCCAACCACTGACTCCAGAGAGACAAAGGACCAACCACAAATATCTAAGAGGCTTAAGAACAGGATGTGGGTGAGATATAAGAGGCAAGGACTTTGGTCCAAGGAAGATGTTTAGGAATGACCAAATCCAACAGATAAAGGGAATTTCATATATTTCACTTGGGAGCTTCTCTGGGACCACCCCCACCCCAATGATGTTAAGAGTGAATATTCACTGGGCAAGTCACTTAACCCCAATTGCCTCACCAAACAAAAAAAAAAAAAAAAAAAAAGGAACATTCAGCTTGCTGATACCCTAAATTTTATGTTTACATCCTAGCTTCAGAGGATGACATTTTTTCTAAACTTGTCTCCCAAATCCTGGGATTTTTCCCTGTTTGGGGGCTTTTGGCCTTCTATTCACTGATTACAAGGATGTTACGTGAGCGTAGGTACTATTTTCTATGTTGAAATGGCTGACTTCTCTCTGGTGTATTATTCTTATTTGAAATGAGATATTGGTAGAGACAGTAGGAAAACAGAGTGAACTGCAGGCCTTACAGGTTCTTGTTGGTGGGAACTTCAGAAATAAATATTTCTGCCTGAGTTTTATTTGAATCCAAATTTTTGAATTAATACTTATATTTATAACTGTGTAACTTTTGGATTCAGTCAAAGGTCCGTACTTGAGGACCTAGAGGGGCCACATATGGCCTCAGGGTCACAGGTTCCCCACCCCTGGTCTAGAGAGACATTTGACTCCTAACTCAGTACTTTCTCCACCATGCCATTCTGGCCTGAGAGATATCAGAACTCTGGACATGATTCAGGAAATGAATGTGAGGTGTCCTTTTTAATAAGCATTAAGCCCAGTATGTCACCACCACCACCACCACCACCATCATCGTTATAAAAAACTTAATCTTCCTGTGTGCACAATCAGAATCACAGCATGTTAGAGGTCATTTACTTCAACCTGGGCCTGAATAAAAAGACTTTTTGTTAATGTTTCTCCAACAATTGGCTCAAAGACTTCCAGTGCGGGGAATTCACTGTGTTTTGATTCCATACTTGGATAGTTTGAATTACTAGGAAGTTCACCCCTTATCAGGCTGAAACATCTCTCCAGAACTTCCAAATATTTTTTAAAAAGTCACTCCTGGTCCTGGCCTCTGTGATCAATTAGAGCAAACCAAATCCATTCCCTCATTTAACTAGCATTTGTAGAGGCTTTAGCAGATGGTGTCTGGAAGTTGGCTAGAAAGATCCGGCCCCTGGGTGCCAGCTCGCCAGTGTTGCCAATGATGGGCTACTAGATATTACTGTTGCTTTGGGCACAGCTCCACCCTCTACCGTGTAGTCTAAAACTGCAGTGACCAGAGCTCTGTTAAACATCTTCCATTAATAGAAGGGTAGCATAAGTCCATTCATCAGGTGCTGGAATGGTGAATGGAGATGAGGTGATGAGCGTTGTGATTCCTGGGGAATCATCACCAGATTTCCAAAGTGGTTGGGGAAGGCTTTCAAGAGGAGCTGGAGTTTCAAGAGTTGTTTCAAACAAGGGGAAGCCTTGATGAGTAAGTGGTAGTCACTCACCATGAGCAGCTACCTGTGCTTTGAGGACATTTCCGCCATGTTGAAAATAGACCAGAGACTGGGAAAAATTAGATGTCAGATCCACTTTGCCAAGTGAGGGAAAGCTAGATTGCTTTGTTTTGCAAGCGGCTTACATGTACAGAATCAGGCAAAGGGACAGGGAAAGATCACTTTTTTCCTGGTAATTTCTAAGGGTAAATGGACATCTGGTTTCCTGATTGGTCCGTCACAATCAAGCAAAAGGGGACTAGACTGTAGGGCTATGAGTACTTCGGGCTACCCCAGATGGTTCACTGTGTCAGAGGCAGTTCTAGACCAAGGGTTAGAAGGATTTCCACATGTTCTTGACGTCATGAATCAATTACTTTTAGAGTTTTGGTTAAGGCCCTCAGAGGCACATAATAATAATAAGAAAACCCCCTGATCGTTTCAGTGAGGTCAGTTTTCTCTTCTACTCCTCCTCTGTGTTCCTGCCCTGACCTCCAGATATCTGGTATAGTGCCAGGGGTCCTTAACTTGGGGTCCATGGTGTTGGAGAAGAAGCTTCTTTGTTTTCACCAGCCTCTAACAGAAATTTAGCATTTCCTTCAATTATTTAAAAACATGATTCTGAGAGGCGTCCATAGGCTTCCCCAGACTGCCCAAGGGGTCCAGGACATAAGAATAGGAGAAGAATCCCTGGTGGAGTCAGAAGAGCTGGGTCCTCCCCCTGAGGCTCAATGCCTACTGACCGAGGCTGGATATTTCTCCTCTCCCGGCCTCATCTCCCTCCCCTAGATGATCTTGACAATACTTCCCAGCTCTAAAACATCATGTCTTTGTAATCTTCAGTCTATACCGGGTGCTGCTAAGATGGCCTCCATTTAAAAGCTTTTAGCCACGAGGCAACAGAGGAAGTGTCTGTGCCTTGATCAAAAGGAATAAAGCAATGGGCACTTGATCGCCCTTTGATGTTTTGTAGAAAGCAGGCACACCAAGCCTTTGGCTTCCCCCAAAGCTGGTGGTCCAGGCATACCTTGACCTCCAGCTTCGGGCAGGAGAAGTAGGATGGAGATATGGTCCCAATGAGTCTGGGGGATTTTCCATGCATTTTTATGATTTAGGCCAACCCTTCTCATTACTGTTCTTAGTAGTTGGAAGTTAGTGGAATGATGATGGAAGCATCTTCCAGAAGGCCTCGAGTCACTCCGTGTCATTAAATGATCTTGAATCACCAGATGTCAGAGTCAGAAGGGTGCTCAGACAACATCTATCCCTGGATGTGAATACCCCCCAGTGGAGGGGGGAGGGGTGAGCCTTTATTTGACGAAAGAAGGAACTTCCCAATTTCCAAGGTAGCCCTTTCTCTTTTAGCTAGCTCTAATTACGAGGAAGTTACTCCTTATGTGAACCCTAAGTCTTCCCCTTTGCAAACCCTTCCTGCCTTGCCAGCAGACAGACAGACAGACAGACACACACACACACATACACTTGCGCGCGCGCGCACACACGCACACACACACACACACACACACTCACTCACTCTGTTTCTGCCCTCTGGGTCAGAGCAGAACAAGTCCGATCGCTCTCTCACCAGACAGCCCTTTCAATATTTGGGGAGAATTATTGTGTTTGCCTGACATGCTTCCAAGCCATGTGACAGTTAACAAATATGTGTCTTCTTGCCTTCCCCCCCTTGCTGGCTCTCACTCCCCTCACCCGCCCAAGTCCCCTGGGAATCATCTGTAAGCTGGAGCAGGAGGGGCCGGTTCCAGCCACTGCCGTCTCTCCCTCCTCGCTGGAGTTGGTCGTGGTTGGCCACCAGCCCGTGATCAGGCTTGGAGGCAGAGGGACCCAGACTCTTGGTTTTACCAGGGGGACCATCGAGGCCACTTCTGCATTATTTAGGGGCAAAGGGCAGACAAGTTGATCGCATAAGTGCAGCTGCCTTCACATCCTTCCTTCAGGCCTTCCAAATAAACACTTGTCTTTGTTCCTTCTTGTCTTGTGTTTGCTGTAGAGTGACTCTCACCAGTTCCGTGTCATGGCCGCGGTCCTGCGCCACTGCTTACTCACCATGGGCCCAACTGAAGACAAAACAGAAGAGCTTCACAGGTGGGCGAGCTCTGGCTGGAGAGGGCAGCCTCTTTGGGGGGGTGGGGCTCAGCTGAGTCTAGATTTTGTGCCTTTTTTTCCTAACTAAGTCGAAACAACAAGGAGTTAATCCTCAGCCTTGTGAATAAACGCAAGGTCACCAGCAGGCTAGAAGTCATTACCATGGCCCAATGGAAGATAGAAAAGAGCTGCTTCACCCAGGCGCCTTGATTAGTAACCATGGTGACCACTGCCAACTAGGGAAGGATAAGTTTGTTTGCCACTTCCAAAATGATTATCCAGAAGAACTGAACTGATGCTAGCCTAAGAATTCCTTTTCTTTTTTTCTTTCTTAAAGCAAAAGAATTATTTACCAGTGGGTTTGAGCATTGGTGGTTTAAAAAAAAACTTTTAAAAAGATCAAGTCACCACTGGAAGCACGTTAATTTTCTGTGAATTTTTCCTCCGAATTTTTTTGATGGAGTAAATGAAATTTATCAGCATCAGAGAGTTAAGCAAATTAAAATGAATTCCTTCTTCTGAGTTACCAAGCTTCCATTCATGATCTGGCTGATATAGGGGCCTGGACTTGGAGTCAGCAAGACCTGAGTTCAAATCTGGCCTCAGACACTTATTAGCTGTGTGACCCTGGGCAAATCACTTAACCTCATTTGCCTCAGTTTCGTCATCTGTAATATAGGAATAATAATAATAGCTCCTGGGCAGCTAAGTGGCACAGTGGATAGAGTGCCAGGCCTGGAGTCAAGAAGATCCAAGTTCACATCTGGCCTCAGACACTTACTACCTGTGTGACCCTGGTTCAAATCACTTAACCCCATTTGCCTCAGTTTCCTCATCTGTAAAATGAGCTGGAGAAGGAAATGGCAAACCACTCCAGTATGTCTTCCTAGAAAACCCCAAAACAGGGTCACAAAGTGTCAGACACAACTGAAAACGACTGAATGACAACAATAGTACCTCCCTCCCAGGGTTGCTTTGAGGACCAAATGAGATCATCTCTGTAAAGCACTTTGCAAACCTGAAAGTGATATCTAAGTGCTAATGACTATAATTACTATTAAGTGTGGGGCTGCTGAAGTCTCAGGCTTGCCATCAGAATATGTGTGGCCCTTTGCTGTTAAGATGGTCTTGATGAAATCTTTTGGAAAGGATGGTGGTGATAATGATTACAACAACCACCCACAAGCAGTATTTTCAGATTTGGTAGCAAACTTCCCTCGAAACAACCCAGTGAGGTATAGAATGAAAATATTATGATTTCATTTGGGGGAGATTCAGGGAGGTAAAAGTCTCCCTATCATCTGCCGTGGACAGGTCATAGTGAGAATATTGTGTTCAGTTCCTGCACCACAGTTTAGCGAGAGGATTGGTTAGCTAGAGAGCTTCTGGAGGAGGGGAACCAGGATGGGTGAGGACCTCATACTGTTCAGGTAAGGGGAGAGGAGATGTTTGCTGCAGAACAGAGGCCTTCTAGGTGGCAGGGTGGAGATAGCCCAGGGTCACTGTCTTCAGACGTTTGAAGGGCGGACACACAGAAGACAGAGTAGACTTGTTTTCTTTGTCCCCAGAGCACCCTAAGTTCCAAAGAGGCAGGTTGGGGCTCGATACAGGGAGAAACTTCTTACCAATCAGAGGTGTCCCAAAAGGGAACCCACCTTATAATATGATGGGTTCCCCCTTAGTGAAGGGCTTTAGCCAAAGCTGGGTGACCACATATCTAGAATGTGATAGTGGGGTGGGGCTGGGGAGAAATTCCTCTTTGGGTTTGGGTTAGACAAGGTGGCCTCTGCTAATTGTGTGATTCTGTAATAGAAATGAGTTCTGTCTCTCTCTCTCTCACACACACACACACACACACGCACACACTCACACACACACACACACACACACACACACACACACACAGCCAGAGTTTAAATTTAGAGATATCTCTGCTTTATAGAGAAGGTCAGTTTGATGGAGAAGGAGTCCTGGATCTGGAACCCAGAGGGTCTGAGTTTGTGTCCCACATGTATGATCTTGGGCCAGTCCAAGGCTCCCTGAGCCTCCATTTCCTCAGCTGTAAAATGGGAGTAATAGCGTTTTCATTCCCTGCATGACAGACCTGTTAAAAAGAAACCCTCAAGTGCTACAGTAATATAAGAAGGAAGAAGATGCAGTTACTTCCCTCCACCACTTTGTCTCTTGGGAAATCACGAGAGATAGATCAGAAGTTAAACGCCAATATAAGATTTGCTCACATGCTTATTAGGGACAGGATTGTGCCTGTCTCATTTTGGGAAATGAATTTGGGGGCAAAAGGGGATCTGATGATAGGGTTGCCCCCCACAAAAAAAAAAGGAAAAGAGAAAATGTCATTGAAATTTTTTTTTTAAATACACAGAAGGAAACTGAAGAAAACAGGCTTTGAAAGTAACAGGTTGAATTTATGAAATACACTAATTTTTAAAAAGCATGGTTATGTAATAGAGATGCATGGTGTCACATATAATCTGCTTTTTCTGTTCTACTTAGGTGTAGGAAAGTTTTTTTTTTTTTTGGTATTTATTAAATTCAGAATTAAAAAAAAGAAAACTGAAAAATGTAAAAGAAAGAATCTGAGATTGATGTAACCATTCAAAGTCCCCAGCGTAAGAAGGCACAGACAGTAATAGCTGTAGGAGTGAAGTAGATGGTTACTTCATCCTTACTGAGGTAAGGTTCAAGCTAGCCTTAGACATAAATATTTCCTCTGGTATCTGTGGGTGGGTCCTCCTCCACTGATGGAGATGACAGTCCCTTTCTGCTGTCCGAGGTCTCTGGGAATTGTGGGCAGAAACCCCCTTAGGGCCCAGCTAGTCATGACCCTCGCCCGGCCCAGTGGGGCTGGGCCTGGGACAGCAGGCACGCAGCTGCTCCCTCAGCCCTTCTGGCTGGGGTAGACCTGCCCACAGGCGGCTCTCTTGGTGTTGCCCATAAAAGCCTTCCTGTCCCCAGTGAGGCTTTAGAGGAGGAATTTGTCAGATATTAGCAAATTTTTCTGAGTGTGCCTCCGCTGATCCCAGTAAGTAAGCATTTTATGCATGACGTTTGATTCTCAAAATGGCCCCGTGAGGTCACATTTTTACATGATATTTAACTTCCTTTCATACACTTGGTCTCACCCACTAGATATATGCAAGGCATGGGAAGATTGCGCATTATCCTCATTTGTGCATTTCCCCGCGCTCCCCCAGACTCTAAACTCCATGAGGGCAAGACCATGGCTTTAGCTTCTGCAGATTATGATCTCAGCTCCTAGCACACAGTGCTCTGCACGTAGTAGGTGCTCAACAAACAGTTGTCAAATTGAATAGAATTTAAGGAGTTTTTTTTTTTTAAATGAGGAAACTGAAGCTCAGACAAGTTAAGTGACTTGTCCAAGGTCACCCAACTAGTAAAGGGCGCAGCTGGAACTTCAGCCACATCTCTAGGCTCCAAGAGCAATTCTTCCACCTGATGGATAGTATTGATTTAGAAAGGGATGGAGAGGCATTCCAGATGGGCAGAAGCTCCAGGTGCATTCTAGGGTTGGTGTTTCTGGGCATCCTCTATAAAAATCACTGTGTGTCACCTTCAGTGGAGGAGTCAGGTGCTGCTGCCTGCAAACGTTCAGGGGGCTGTAGATGTCAACAGTTTGGTGGAAGCAGCAGCCTCTGGGAGCTCCAGGGAACACCCCAGGGGGAGGGATGCAGTGATGGTTAGGAATGGAGAAAAGAATAAATATTAACCACAAGTTTTAAAAAGAACACACCCAAGTAGTACAGAATTAGCAGAAAAAAGGGAGCTCCTGAATCGGCACTTTCTCATTCTCGTATTTCTCACTGCAATATTCATCCTCCCATTAAAATGGCCAGCCGTGTTAGTAAACAGCGTCTGAAGCCAGCACTGTGCATGAGAGGGCCATTCTCTGGCCCTCCACAAACAAGGGCTTGCTTAACCCGACACTGAGGAGTTCTATCTGTCTAACTGGGCCCTGCTTTAGAATCTGCATAGCGGGAGGGGCTTGGGAGTTTGAAGGGGAGGATGTCCTGTCCCTGTGATTAATGATCTCCCGGCAGCCAGAAAGGAGAGAGTAAGATACACAGGATTTCTCCCCCCTGGAGCAGGCATTCCAAACCTATTGTACACATCTCTGCATACTCCCTGACTTCCTGGTAGCCGGAGAATTTCATACACTCTCTGACCACAAATGAAACCGTCAGCAAAGTGACGAGATCAGAAAGCCACACTTCGTGACTTGAAAAGAATAGCTCGGACACAGTGATCCAGAAAATTAATTTTGTAGTTGTTTGGGAACTCGGTGGTTTAATAAGAAACCAGCAAATGGGGGGACTTTTCCTTGAAAAGCCGAAAAAAAACACCAAATATTTGTTGAATCGAATGCCAGTTTTGGTTTCTGACAATTGTTCAGTTCCTGGAAACTGGTTACTTAACATTACTTAAAAAGGGAGATAGTCCTTTAAAATGATGTCAGGGAAGAAGCCAACTTGAAAGCCTTCCATTTCTCAGGGATCTTTGGTTCTTAATTGGGCTCCTGGGATCTTAGCCACCCTCCCTGTAACCTAGCAGCACCCTAATATTGGAAGAGCAGTAATGGCGGAATGCTGAAATTTCTGGGCCAGTAGTAGGAGATTTGCCTTTGGTTCTAGTATTTAAGGGGAATTTTTTTTCTGCTTCTATTTCCATTGGAAATATGAAGCTCAATCCTAGCTGCTACCTGTTGAATCCAGGAGGGAAAGTCCAGTGGGAGAGTTTTTTACTGTACTATTTGGTGACCCAGAGGTAGAGGATGAGCCATACATCTTCAGATATGGCCAGTGTCTGAATTTGTCCTACTTAACCACACGTATGTGTTACAAGGGAAGGATTGTTTTGCACAGGGAAGACTCATCAGAGGAGTACAAGGAGCCGTGATATTTCTGTTTAAAAAAAAAAAAAAAGAAGTAACAATGAAATATTTAGAAAATTCACAGAAAAGAGCAGGAGGAAATTTGGAACAACACAGACCAATTGGGCAATAATTACTTTGTATACTTAAAAAACCAAGCTGAACATAGTAGAGATTCATGGTTTTACATCCAATCCTTTTTTTCTCTTTTGTGTATGGAAATGCTAGTCAAATTCCTAATTAAAAAGAAAAATTTTAAATTAGGGAAGATTTCAAAGAAACATTTATTTGAAAAAAAGCATTTGTAAAATGAAAGGGTTAGGAAAGGATTTTTTAAAAATACATTCTTTCTTAGTAGGTTTTCTTTCCTTATAAATAGCCATAGTTAGAAGATCTTTTCATCAGACAGATCTGTAGCATTCGAATCAAAATGAGAGCAGGCCTTGTTTGCTCATTAGGGGGTGGCTACAGACCCCCACATACTGTCTTGTGTTGTTTCCCAGCCTGGTTCTCTCTCTGATGCATCAATTAGAAATTTTTTTTTCTTCTTTGTAAAATACACCCACTAAAAAATGAAATCTTCTCTGATGATGAAAGAAAGGCAGAGTTCTTACTTGGAAGAAATGGAAAAATCAAGCTTCAGAAGGGCAAGAAAAGCATTTTTCAAAGTTTTTTTTTGGGGGGGGGGTTTGCCAAGTTACTGTTATCTTAATGAAAGTTCCCACTGGTCACTTTAATTGGGCCACATCTTGAACTCCACTGTTTTTTAGCTTAAAATCAAGATGAGGGGGAGGAGAGGACAATTTTTAATCAGGATTTAAGACTTTCAGGAAAGTCTTGGAAGCCAGAAATGTGATTTATTTCAGTGCTGGGTTCTTTTTCTACCACTTCTGAAGTTCCTTTAGATTAAGGCAGAATCTAGAATGGTTTTCCTTTCTGGTGGGAAGGCTTCTCTGCAATTGGAGAGCAGGCCAAATTTAAAAGTAGTTTACACCATCCTTGCAGTGAATTTGTTGCCCAATGAGTCACCCACAGCATGTTGGTGACGGCTCAAAAACTGTGTGTGAGTTCCCCCTGCTGGTGTGTGGCCCATGCTCATCTCTTCTCTGTTCTCTTGAAAGGAAAGAGAATGGGGAAAGAGGTCTGAGGCAGCCACGTCGGCTTCTCTTACAGACTAGGTGAAGGAAAAGGGAGCAAAGCTCATTCGTTTAGAACATTATTTTACTCATAAAAAATAAAATGAAAAGTACGAATGAAAAGCCATTAACTCCTATTTTCTCCTTTCAGTAAGTAACCCATCTGATTGTGTGTTCATTATCGGTCTCTTTTACCTTCCTTATTTATCTTTTGGGTTATTTATTGGGCTGGTCAGTTCTTTATTCTCTTTCTCGTATCAAGTATTATAGCAACTTTTCAAAGGAATTTTTTTTTTAATTTGCCTCCTTAAAGTCACTTACAAACTGTCCGTTGTGCTTTGTTGTTTTTTTTTAAGTGCTATTCACAAATATTTAAAATAAAACATTTTAAAATTCTTTATTTTTTCCAGCAATGCAGTCAACCTTTTAAGCAACGTTCCAGTCTCATGCTTGGATGTCCTCATTAGCCCATTAGCCCAGGACGAAATCGCCCAGGAGGCAACAACTCTAGATGAATCGACCCAAGAAACAGAAACAGGCCAAGATGAAACAAGGGAAGAAGAAGCCAATCTGAAGTACAATACCATGGTGTACAATGGCATGAACATGGAGGCCATTCGTGTTCTCCTTGACTTTATGGAAAAGAGAATAGACAAGGTAATGTCAGTGGTGGGGTGGCTTTGGGAGGTGCCCCCAAATAAACTGCTTACTAAGGAATATGAATCACCAGAAGCTTAAGAAATGAATCTTAGGAAATCTTAGGAAATGAAGAGAGTTTTAACTCTTAAGCTTTTGAGCTGGAAGGGACCTTGGTGATGAACTAGGCCAATAACTTCATTTTTAAAGAGGAAGAAACTAGTACCCAGAGAGGTGACAGGATATTCAAAACAGAATTAATCCAACAGAAAGATAAATGAAAGGAAAAAATAGAGCTGTACAGATTTTTGGAAAAAAAGAGATTTGAATGACCTGTGGTGATTTATTAATGGGAATAAAGAATATACATATGTCTTAGCATCCCATAGTACTTTTGCAAAAATTTGTCACTTGTATCCCACACTACATTTACAGAAACTGACTGTGTGCTATCACATAATAAAATTATAAACAAATACAAAAAGGCAGAACTAATATAAGCACATTCTCTACTAACCATAACTCAATAAAGAGTGTTCAGTAAAGGAAATGTGAGGATAAATACCGGCCTAAATGGAAGCATCCTGAATTACAAGGTGGCCAAAGAATAAATCGTGTAAACAATAAATATTCATGTTAAAGAGAATAATAGCAATCAGATAACATACTGAACATTATAGATCGCAGTTAAAGCAGTACTCGGAGGAAAATTTGTATCTTTGAAAACTTATGTTAACAAAGTAGGAGAAGAAAAATAAAGAACCTACCAGCCCAGTAAATAACCCAAAAGAAAAACTGAGAATGTAATTTTTAAAAGTAGAAAAATAAACAAATCAGCAATTCTGAAGAAATACAAAGGACAGAATCTTGAAAATTGTAGAAGAAATAGGTATAATTGAAAATAAAAAAGTCATAAAATTGACAAAACTCAAAAATATTTTTCTTTAAAAGACTAACAAAATCAACGAGACATTAGTTAACATGTTTTAATAAAAATGTCAAATTATCAAAATAAAAAGAAAGAGCAAAGTGAATTTCCAACTTACAGAAAGTAAAGAGAATTATAAAAAGAAAAAACTATACACAAATATATCACCAACACAACTTGAGAATTCAAAGCTGTGCATGATTATCTGCAAATATATAAAGTACCCAAATTAACAAAAAAGGATGTAGGGGTCCAGTGCAATTTAGTAAAAAGAAGTTATATAGGCATAAACTGAGAAAGAAAGAAAGAAACCTCTGTCCTAGAAGGATTTTTCATGTGACTTCTAATGTTTAAATTCAGTGTTTAAATTCAGATGTCTAAAGAATAGCTAATATCTACACCTCCAAACTAGAAAAAGGAGTCCCACACTTTTCATGAGACAAATATGGTCCATATACTCAAACCAGGGACAGGCTAAGCAGAGAAAGAGAACTTTAGATCAATTTCACTAATGAATTTGGTTACAACAATTTTTAATTAAAACCCAGAAAGGAAACTAACAGCAAGATATCCAGAAAATGATTCAGCAGGGCTGATTAGAATTTATGCCAGGAACGTAAGAATGGTTTAGCATTAGGAAAATAAATGAGAACAATTATGCGTATAAACCAGACTTCATCATTATATTGGTAGGTGCAGAGAAAGCCTTTTGACAAAAACACAGCACTCATTTATGTTAAAAACCTAGCGTGGGCGTGGAAGGGTCATATTTAGATATGATCCAAATCATATATATGGAACCAAGTGGGAGCATGATTGGCAGTGAGAGAAGGAAAAAGCAAACCTAGAGGCTTTCCATGTACAAATGAGGACACACAAGGATGCCGTCTCTCCCCTCTAGTAGGACCTGGGCAAGGTTCTAAAACACTATGTGTAGCAGTATGACATGAGAAAGAAATTAAAAGCATAAACATTGACCGAGAGGAGAAAAATTTTTAGACAAAATGATTTGCTTAAAAAACCTGAACGCATCAGCAAGGAAACTAATTGAGGTGATTAACAGCTTTAGTAAAGTAGCAGGATATAAAATATCTCCACAAGACTGCCAGCATTTCTATAGAGTACTAACAAAATCATAAGGAAATGAGAAGTTTTATTTTAAGAAACTACAAAATATGCAAGCTATCTGGGAGTTACCATACCAAAACACATAGGATTTACACAAATACTAGTATAAAACTTTTTTTTTTGTAAAAATGAAGATTTAAATAATTGGAGAGAGATTTATATTGAGTGGTCAGTCAGTAAACCTTTATTAAGCTCCTACTATGTGCTAAGCATTTAGGGATACAAAGAAAGTAAAAGGCAGTCCTTGTCCAATCTAATGGGGGAGATGATGTCGAAAACAAAACAAAACAAAACAAAAACAACTCTGTACAAACAAGATATCAACAGGACAAATTGGAGATAATCAACAGAAAGAAGGCACTGGCATTAAAGAGGCATTCAGAAAAGACTTATTGTAGAAAATAGAATTTTAGTTGAGGATTGAAGGAAGCCGGAGAAGTCAGAAAGCAGAATTGAGGGAGGGGAGACAGAGAGAGAGAGACACAGAGGAGAGCAGGGGAAGAGAGACAGAAAGAGAGAGAGGAAGTGAGGGGAGAGAGAGAGGAGAGAGACAGAGAGGAGAGGGGGGAGAGAGACAGACAGAGAGAATGAGAATTTCAGGCACAGAAGACAGCCATTGAAAATACATCTTCTGGACATAGTGTGTGTAGTTCCAGGAACAGTATGGAGCCAGGTGTCAACTGGATCAGAGTGGGGGTTGTGAGGGGGCGGGCGGGCAAGGAGGTAATTAAATGTAAGAAGACTGGAAAAGTGGAAGGGCTCTGAATGCAAGCTGAGGACTTTATAGTTGATTCTGGAGGTGATAGGGAGTTGCTGGAGTTGATTGAATGGGGGAAGTGACATGGTCATATGTGTGCTTTAGTGGCAAGGAGACCAGCCCACAGGCTACTGCAGTAGTCCAGGCATGAAGTGAGTGGTGTCAATATCATAAATATAATGATATTACCTAAGTTAATTTTAGATTTACTACTATACCCGTAATACTAGCTAGATGGGAGCAGGGGGAGAGATGCTGTAGATTTAGATGAATAATGAAACTCATGTAGTGGAACAGAAGGTCCAGAACCTGAATGGAAACAGAAAACAGATAGAAATGGAAAAGGCAAAGCACCACCTAAATTCAAGTTATAAATTGTAATGTGGTGACCTTCAAAACTATTTGCCTAAAAATAAAAAGCAGAAAAGTGGAGCACACTAGGTAAGTAAGAAACAGAAGCAATAGAAAATGAGGGTACTGTATTTGACAGACTTAACACCGTCACTTAGCGGGGTTTCATCTTCAGCTGGTACGAGCACCTCGGAAGACGAGAAGCTTTTGGGAAGAAATTAGGTTTAGACCAGGCTCTTAGACCGTGTGCTGTAGTAATCTCCAAAATGATGTGCTGCCCCAGCTTCAAAGGTCACATCATAAAATTGCAAGAGTTGCCTTTCACAGTGATGGCTGGAGGGGGAATTCTTGAGCAAAGAAAGGGAACACGGTAGCCTTAAGGGACCAAAGACACAATTTCAATTATGTAAAATTAAAAGACTTTTGTGAATAGAGACTATTAAAAGAAATCATCAGGTGGTGGTGATGGGGGTAGGTGGGAACTTTGCATCAAATATTCATGATAAAAGTCTACCATGCAAGATGTATGAGTAATGATTCAAAATGTAAGATCAAGAGTCATTCTCCAATAGAGATGTTACTAGTAGATTGTAAGTTCCTTGAGGGCAGGAAATGTCCTTTGTCTCTTTTTGTATCTCCAGCACTTAATACAGTGCCTCGCACATAGTAGATGCATAATAAATGTTTTTGAATTGAATATAAGTGGTCAAAGGATATAAGAAATAGTTTTCAAAAGGAAAATGGACAACTAACAATGATCAGATGAAGAAAATGAAAACAACTCTGAGGTGTCACCTAATGCTATTCAAATTGGCAAAGATGATACAAAATGAAAACGGTGCTGGAGAGTCAGGAATCCTAATAACATAGTGTTGGTGGAGCAGTAAATTTGGTGTAATGTTCAGGGATGTTATTTGGAGTTGTACAAGAAAAATGACTGAGCTGAATGAATGAATGATTGAAAAATGACTGACCAAGTCATCTCAGTAATGGGCAAATACTCCAGGAAAATAAAAGACAGAGTGAAGTGCATCTCCCCAAATATTCAAAGCAGCATTTTTTTGTGCAGCAAATAGTTGGAAGCAAAGTAGGTGACCATTGTTAGTAGAATAGATAAAGAAGTTCATATGTAAATGTAAGATATTGTTGTAGAGTTAGAATGGCAAATATGAGGAATTTGGAAAAACAGATTTGTGGGACTTGATGGAAGGTGAAGAAAGCAGAACCACGGGGATTCCATTCACAGTGACCACAGTCATTTAAATGGAAACATACTCCTTTAAAAGAAACTGAACAGAGAGTAAATATTCATTAGTATTGGTCCTGGGACTTAGCCTCCTCCCATTGGGGTGGGGACAGACATGGGGCAGACAGAATGTGGAATACATTGTTAGGTACAGGCATTCTATCGATTGTTGTTATAATTATTTTTCTTTTTACAAGGGATGGTTCAGGTGAGGGCTGGAAATATATCTACAAGTTGACTAGTATAAAAAAAATGGAAGACATTCATTTTTTTTGAAAGAATCCTGCTGTTGCGGTCAAAAGACATGGGTTTGAGTGTAAATTCAACCACCTATCCAGGGAATACTGGGCAAAATCACCGAACTTTTTTGATCTTCAGTTTACCCATCTGTAAAATGTAAATAATCATGCTGGTACTGTCTGCCTCATGGAGCTGTTGGTTGAAGGAACTTGCAAACTGTGAAGCACAATATACGTGTGTACAGTTGCTGCTCTTACTATTTCCCCCCTCAAAATAACCACCAACTTAAAAAAAAATGAGGTGGTTAACTTAAAGGAAATGAATTATCCTGCATTTCTCCTTCTTTTCCCGTTGGTTGGGCTATCCAAGAAAATCTCCTGATCTGTTAGCTTCCTGTGCAGCGGTGATTGCTGCCTTGCAGTCTTCTCTCGCGGGTTGGCCTTGGCTTTGTTCTTGCCCAGGCAGACCCTCTCCTCAGTGCCCCTTTGGAGCAGTACCTCCCACTGGGGTCAGCCAGACTGAGAGTGAGACAGAGAGCAGCCCCCAAGGCCATGAACATGGACCTCGTGGCCGCCATGTTGTAAACAAGGCAGCCTAGTGCCCAGGACGGGGACATAGGAAAATATAAGGCAAAGTTGCTAAGGAAGGATGGAAATCACTGTGGGTAAATGGGAATGGAATAATGTAAACTACTGTGGGAGAAAGAGACTGTGGTACCTTGGAGAGAGGCCTTGATTTGGAGTCAGAGAATTCAAGGTTGAATCCCAGCCATGCCATGACTTTGTGTGGTCAGCGGCAAGTCATGGGCCTCACGCGTCCAATGAAGAGGCTGCACTGGCTGGTCCCCACGGTCCGACTGAGCTCTCAGACTCTGGGGAGTTTACGAAGCCTCAGTGTCATTGATGTCCCCCCATAAGCTGATCTTTACTTCTCTGAGTTTTTAATTCTTGAAGAGGGGAGTCACTCTTTGACCTCCTAAACTCAAACCAAAAGTCAGACTTGTGTGATGTGGTGTGTGTGTGTGTGTGTGTGGTGTGTGTATTGTGTGTGGTGTGTGTGTGTGTGTGTGTGTGTGTGATGTGTGTGTGTGTGTGGTGTCTTTTGTGGAATCCTGTAAACCAGCTAACCCATTTTCCCTGGTTCTCCTTTAGGGAAGCTGCTACCGGGAGGGCCTGACTCCAGTGCTCAGTTTGTTGACTGAATGCTCCCGCGCTCACCGAAACATCCGGAAATTCATTAAAGACCAGGTAACGGCTGGATGCACGTTGACTCGGAAACCTGGCCATCTGGTAGCTGTCATCTTTTACGTGTATTCTCTTTGTGTCCCTGGTTCTTTTTTCAAACTGAAAAAAACACCAGGGAACATTGTTCTCCCCTTCTGACACTCTCTCAATTGAGAAACAGGTGCTCATTGGCACTTGGAGAGTCATTTGGAATTCATCCAACTTGGGAATCAGATACACCTTTTCTTTCTTCCTTTGGGTTTGGTTTTGTTTTTAAGTGAAGGTGGGGGATTGTAGATCTACCAGATTTAAAAAAAAAAAAGCTAAACATCCTACTATGTGCAGAGCTCTGTAATAATAATAATAATGATGATGATAATGTTCTATAACACTTACTATGTACCAGGCACTGTGCTAAGGATCCTCACAACAACACTGGGAGAGAAGTGCTATTATTACCCCATTTTACAGATGAGGAAACTGAGGCAGACAGTGGTTACATGACTTGCCCAGGGTCACACGTGTCAGAGGCTGTGCAACCTAGCTGCCTATAGGTGAATTTCTAGGAACACTTGTAGTAGAAAACAAGGTATATATATTCCAGTTTAAGGAGCTGGGGGAAGATGAAGGCTTCCAGGCTTTGAGAGAATCTTTGGAGGATTTATGTGAAAACATGAGCCAGAATCAGAGGAGGAGAAAGTGCGGTTGAGGCGAGGAAGGAGCTGTCTGAGGTCCACTGACAGATTAGTCCAGTGGGGAAAATTTGGAGCATCTTTGCATGTGGAATTGCTAAGAGGAAAAACTTGTAAATTCTTGAGCAGAAGCTGTTTCCATTTACCTTGAGAAACTTAATCTTTTGTTTTAAGTAAGGCTTTCTATGTGTAGGGGTTGTCACAGTGGACAGAGCCACAGGCCTGGGGTCTGGAAGACCTGAGTTCAAATCCAGCCTCAGACACTTACCTGTGACCTGTATGACCCTGGGCAAGTCACTTGGCCCTGTTTGCCTCAGTTTTTCATCTGTAAAATTGGGGTAATAATAGCACCCACTTGCCAAGGGGATTGTGGGGATCGATATTATAAAGCCCTTAGCACAGTGCCTGGCACACAGGGCTATGTAGCTGTTAGCTATTATCATTGTTACCTCTGTCAGGAGCCTTAGTGGCCTTTAATGCATGAACATCTATGTGAGTTTCCACATGTTTTACATTTCACATGAGGAGCCAGGCTCAGAATGTCTAAGTGATTCCAATTAGGTTATTACTATTATTACATTATTATATAATTATAAATTATAATTTACAAATATATGGTATATTATAAATATATATAAATTATAATAAATAAATACATTATATTACTATTAGTAGCAACAATAATAATAATAATAATAATGGGGGGTGAATAGAATGTTGTACAGGCTGTTGAAAGAAGTCTTTGTTGTAAGGGATGACTCTGAGTAGAAGTGAAGTTAAGGACATGAGGCAAATGCAGACAATGTGAAAACAAAAGGTACCAATAAAAACCCATTTTTCTAAAGAAAATTAACTGATTTTCAAGCAAACTCCAAATAACTTAACAGAACTTTCCCGTTTCTTTTTTTTTCAACTGACACCCTCTCTAAGTAGGTTTCATAATCCAGAGCCACAAAGCCATGCTCTTATGGGGTCCTTTTCTTCCACCAGAAATTGGACTGAAAATCACTTTGCTTAGCTCAGGCAACTAACAAGTATTTACTGAGCACCTGCTATAGGCCCAACCCCGGGCGAGGCCCCACAGGGTTAAAACAGAAGTGTTAAACTTGGTGTCTGCTTGTGGTCTGATTGGGGAAATAAGGCATAGAACACTTGGAAAGAAATATCAGATTGTATGAATTAAAAATCCCATGGTTCAGTGTGTACATGTTATAGGAGTTCAGAGAAGAGAAAGGTCTCTTGGGGCCAGGGCTTCTTGGATGGAGGAAGGTTGGACTTGGTCTTACACTAAGGTGTGGATTGGGATAAACCAAGAGGGAAGAAGGCAGGGAGGGAATGAATATGGTGTATGTGTTTGCCAGTGGGGGTGGGGAAGTGGGGCCCGAGGGAGATGCTTTTGTCCAAATGTCCAGCCTTCAGTACATTAGCAGGACATGTACTCAAGGGGCAAAGTGTCCCCTTGGCTCTCCTAGGTTCTGTTACGGACACATACATTACTTGGGGTCTGATTTTGTTGGACTCAGTGAAAGCATATCTTCCTGGTGCGCATTCTTTCCATCCTGGAGGTAGGTTCATGTGGTCTTGTAAAACCAAGCCCGTGAGATGTTTGCCATTGATGATGACTGAGTCCCATGTTACCTTCCTGCCTGGGTCCCTCTAGCATTTAGTTGGGTGGTTAGAGATGGAAAGAGCCGGCTCTGGAGGCAGAAAACAAGGTTCTATCTTAATTTTGTCATGGACCACCTGCCTGGGTCTCAGCTTTCTCGTCTGTGAACCGGACAGATGGCTCCTCTGGCCACATCCAGCTGCAGGTCTCAGTTGCTGTGATCTCGGGCAGGTTTCTGCTTCACCTCTAGTGTCTGAGAATGCCCCCAGGACCCTGGGGCACAGTCAGCATTGCGTTTGTGTCTTCAGGTCCTGCCTCCTCTGAGAGATGTAACCAACCGCCCCGAAGTCGGCACCACCGTGCGGAACAAGCTGGTGCGCCTCATGACACACGTTGACCTCGGGGTCAAGCAGATCGCAGCCGAATTCCTGTTTGTCCTTTGCAAAGAGAGAGGTAGGTGGAAGCCACCCCCCTTGCTTTCTGCTGATGAGAGGTCCTGACTGGTCATCCTGGCGTGGAAAGAGGCAATACTTACAGTCAGATCTCCAAATACACACTGCTGGAGGAAAATAGAAATGCCAATGCCTCCAAATAGCGGCTCATGGAGAGTAATTTCTGTTCGGCTTTAGAATTCAGGCACAACTGATCAGAAAAGTCTGAGCACGCATGCACCTTTGGACCCCCAATGCTGCAGGGAGTGGGTGGGGGTCACGGGGCTTCTTCCTCTCTCTGGGGTCATGGACCCCTTTGGCACTCTGCCGGAGCCTGCGGACCCCTCCTCAGAATTGTGTTTTTAAATGCATGAAATCAAGTTCACAGGGTTGCAAGGAAACCAATCGTATTGAAATGCAATGAGCAAAATGTGGAAAATTCCAAAATCACAGATCCCCTAAAATCTCCCCATGAACCCCAAATTAGAGACCCCTGCTCTAAGGCTGCTTAAGTGGCGGAAGAGGTGCCACGCTTGTATCACTGTATCGGTACAGCTTCCTCACTCAGAAATTGCTTCTATCAATGAAATCAGAGGGCAGCTCCCCTCCCTGTTTATTCTTTGTTACAAGCAATTATTCTGGGGGGGGGCCGGGGAACCCATGGGGAATGCTGGTGACAGAAAGATAAAAGAGCACCAGCCTTGGAGTTAGGATGACCCGAGTTCAAATCCAGCCTCAGACACTTACCAGCTATGTGACCCTGGGCAAGTCACTTAACCCTGATTGCCTCCAAACAAACAAAAATACATAAAAAACCCATAAGATTTAACACTACAAATTAATTTTTTTAAAGATGCTCTTTTGGAGCTGTGATGGCCTAAGTATTTTATCACTGGACAGCCAGCCTTGGTGGAATGATAATTCTCATGATTGATCATATCTGTGGTCTTTATTTAGTGTTCCAGGGCTCTGGGAGTGGAGGGATTTTCTGGATTGTATATTTTCAAATGCTATCCTCCAAAAACTAATTGAATGTAGAAATCCAATTCAACCTGTTATCCAGAAGGATTCATGTGGTGATTCCCCATTGCCTTTAAGATCTAGTTCAGCATTTACAGCCTTCCATAAGCTGGTTTTCCTTTCATTCTGGGCTGATGATACAGTTTTCCCCCCCCTTACTCATTCTCTTTTCCGTATTTTAACCAGGCTGACAGACTTGCTATTCTCCATACATTGACCATATTCCCTCTCCAACCACCATGCCTTTGCCCAGGCTGTGCTTCATGCCTAGAGTGCCCTCCTTACCTGTACCCCTTGGAATTCCAGCCCCCTTTCAAGAGGCTTTTCTGGATTCCTGTGGTTGTTAGTGGCCCCTTCCATCACTCAGTGTTTGTATTTCATTTCTCATCATGTTCTGTCTCCCTGGTAGAATGGGAGTTGCTTGAGGGCCGAGTACATCATTTTTGTCTTTGTATTCCCCTATACCTGGCACATAGTAGGCACTTTTTAAAATGCTTTTGTCCATTGATCATTTGAGTCTCTCTGGTCCTTGGCTGACAGATACAGTCTGTCATCAGACTAGTCCTGGAATCCCTTCTGGGTCTGTAGGACCCACCAGAACCTGCCCTATATGGACCCAGCTTTCAAGGACTCAAGAATAGACTGCATAAGTTAGAACCCCCTTTTATTTGGCCCAAAACGACCTTCAGTGAAACGCTGTTTAATTTTGGTGTCTTGAGATTTGGGGAACCCCATATCTGATCATCACAGCGTTGTGAAGTGGGCTCTCTCTAAATTCTGAAGTCCTGGGGAGTGCGAGGACTCACCCTGCTCAGGTTATGGCTGTGCTGACCGAGAGTTCCCTGATTCCATGGACTTTTATCTTTCCAAATCTAGGCCTTTCCAGAAGAGGCCTCATTGTTTGCTCTCTTTCTGGAATGTGGAAGTCTCCACCACCACTCCCTCTGTCGTCTCTCTCTCTGACTCCCTCTCTCCTCTCTCTGTCTCTCTAACTCTCCCTCTCAGCCTCTCTCACTTTTTGTCTTTCTGTCTCTTCCTCGCTTTCTTCCCTCCACACTGTGTCTCTTTCTCCCACTGTCCCACTGTCCCCCTTCCTCTGTTTCTCTCTCTCTCTCCCCCCCCCTTCTCTCTCTCTCTCTCTCTCTCTCTCTCTCTCACACACACACACACACACACACACACACACACGCACACACTCTAGCTGGCTTCCTAAGGACCTTCTCCAGCTCTGTTACACTTTTGGATAAGATGTGATAACCAGAGTTCTGCCCAGTCGTCCAGCTGCAGACATGCTAGGATTTTGTACAGCAAAATCTCCTCTTCTGGTTTCTAGCCTGTGTATTTTGGGGTTGGACATGGGAGCTCAGTGGGTTGGTATCACTCAAGAACCCATCTCTTAAGTATTGTCTGAATTTGTTTCTCCTACATGCATAGAGTGAAGATGACCCACCGGCATCCTGTATGGCTACACCGCTTTGTCATCACTCACTCTAAAACTTAGCATTGTGGTAACAGCTGAAGAAATGAATGAGTTTAAAAGCATTTATTAAGTGCTTTCTGTATACCAAACACTGTGCTAATAGAAAACCAAAGCACGTTAGCCATCTGCGGGATGACACATTTTACTCCAGACCTCCTGTCCCAGATTATTTATAAAAAATGAGGAATAAGACCCGTCTCAAGCACTGTTTGAAACTCAGCCAGTCAGGGAAGGGCTCTTAGCCCTACCTGCTCTTCCTTGTCTTGGCCCATTTGCCATCTTTTCGTGACAAGATAGTCCGCCCACGGCCTCGGCCTTCTTTTTGTTAGCTTTTGGCTTGGACTGTCGTCAGAGGCTCTCCAAGGGTCTCCATAACTAATCTACTTGCTCCCTCCCTCTTGGTGACGGTCCTCATGGTTCGTGTGATTTCTACCAAAGCTCCCAGAGTGTCCTTGGCACCTTATTTAATTTTCATGCAACAAGATGGCAGCCCTTAAGTACTTGGAGGGTTGGTCACCCTATGGAAGAGAGAGTTGATTTGTTCTGCTTGACCCCAGAGGCCCCAGCAGAAAAGGGTTTAAGCCCAATATTATTGAGCCCTGAGCAAGGCACCTAAGCTCTGTTTGCCTCGGTTTCCTCAACAGTAAATAATAACACCTCCCTCCCAAGGTTGTGTTGTGAGGATCAAATGAGATAATATTTGTAAGGTGTTTAGCCTAATGCCTGGCACACTGTAGGTGCTTAGTAAGTGCTTGTTCCCCTCCCCCTTCCTGGCCATGCTGTTGCCAGAGTCCTCACCACCGTAGCACCTCCTGGAAATGCCTGCCAGGAGGGGCAGGGCTGGAGATGGCCGTGGGCATGGGCACTCACTCAGGTTGATTTGACTGTGACAGCCGTCCTGTTCTCTGTGACTTTGCAGTGGACAGCCTGCTGAAGTACACCGGTTACGGCAATGCTGCGGGACTGTTGGCGGCGAGGGGCCTCTTGGCGGGAGGAAGAGGAGATCATTGGTACTCGGATGATGAAGACACGGACACAGAAGAGTACAAGTCTGCAAAGCCCAAGTATGGTGTCGGGTTGTTTGTCATTCAGGTCTTTGTCTCTTCCTGCTTTGTCTTGCTTTTTCTTTCATCTTCTAAATGATTCTTTTCTCATGTGGACTGGACACAGTGGTCCTGGCTTTGCTCTTTTCCAAGAGTTTCCCAGTGTTCCACAGAAGTGGTGGTTTTAGGTGACCCGGGCAGGGCAATGTTACAACGAACGTTCTGTCCTGCTGCCATGGCCTTTCCAATAAGTGACTCATCCTTTCCCAGGTGGTCCCAGATAGAGTTCTCAGGTATTTCAGATGCCCATTATCTCATACTGAAAGCAGTTTCTTCTCACTCTCTGCTTTCCTTTCCATCTGTTAAGCCCTTGTAAAGTAGAAAGACCAACTAGATAGTCTAGTTATTGGATTATTTCAGGTTTAACCTTTTCTTTGGCAAACCCCCCAAATTCTAGCCTTTCTTGAACCTCCCGTGTAAAGTCTTTATGAATGGGCAGGCTCATGAAGTGATGGTGACTGGTCACCATGGAAGGAGCTTTAATCAGATTAGTGCTTGGGGAATCATCTTTGCCAAATGCCCTAAATGACATTAGCGCCTCGGGTAAGAAAACCAGAGTCCCCAGGGAGCCTCACTGGCGTCAGAGGATAAGATTTAGAGGCTGTACCCAGCTGCAATATTTTATCCCAAGTCAAAATGCCTTCCTCACTTGTGGTGTTCTTGGCTTCCACCACTGAGGAATGACCTCCACTCTTGTCTTTGGGATTTGCTGACCCACATAATGTTGGAGGGTGATACTATTCCTTTTTGGCCATCATCAGTGGTGCCCAGACTCTCTGCTCCCCTCCTATGATCTTTTAGGCACTGCTGGGGACACACAGTGGGAGCCTGGAGATTGAAAATTGACATCTGCCAAATGAGAATGGGGTTTTTCCCTCCTTCTTTAAAAAAGATAAAAAGAACAAAATTAAAACGAATGTGTTTATCAACTATTGAATCCTAGTGCAAACTCCCCAGTCATCACCGTGGAAGTAGGCTGTGAAAATGTGGCTAAGCTTCTAATTGTTTGAGATTCTTCGGGAAAGCTTCTTATGGAAGAGGGGGTTGATTGAAGGGCTGTTGGCAAAGTTCGGATGCAGTCAGTCCCAGCTGGCTCCTGTGCGGTGTGTACTCAAAGACAAAACTGGCTCAGATAGAACCATCAGACCCTTTCGTTCACCAGAGTAGTTCCCAGGGACGTTTCCCTGTAGGCATCGTGTGCCCAAGGCAAGGGGATTCTGGTTCATTTCTTCTAGTCCTTATTAGACTTTGTTCCTTGGATTCCATCAGTCAATTCACATAGGAAGGGCATTTTCATGCCGAACTCATCAAAAACTCTGTATCAGAATGTGAGGACTTAGAATCCACCAATTGAGAATTCTAGGAATTTAAAATGAAGCAGAAATTACCGGAGGCCTGTGTTCCGGGAGAGTACATATACGCAGTGAACCAGGATGGAAAGCGTAGGTTTAAAACCTCCCTCTCAATGTCTCCTAAACAGCAGGACGATGTAGCAATCAGAATTACAGTGTATAATCTCGCATCCATATCTGTGCTCTGTCAGAGACAAAGCCGAAATCTCTTACGGGGCCCCTTGCATGGTAGTGTCAGAGAAGGATTTGTAACGTACCACAACCAAATAGTAATAAGGGATTTAAAAAGACCTTCGATCAGAACTGGCCCTTGTGCAGGGCCCCTCTGAGTCAGCAGAGGAAACCCGATTGTGTCTCATCGCACATTAGCCCATTTACAGCCAGGGGTGGCATGGCCCCTGTGCCTGATTGTCCCTCACGGCCTTTTTGGGATCAAATCCTTTAGTCCTCTTATCCCAAATAGAAACCGTCTTCAGCCTTCTGCTCTGTCTTGAACACATATTTTCTAGAACTGGGGTCTTAGGCTAAACAAAATAATCTTCACAGTTCAGTCCTGTTAAAATGAGCTCTCAGACCAAGTATCCGTTTCTCAAATCTCTTCATCCCTTGACTCTTCAAATAGGTCTGTGTCTGTTTTTATCTTAAACTCTTTCTTTCTCTTATGTGAGAGAAAAAAAAAATCACTGGTTAGATGTTTCATTTATTGCCTAAAATTTGAAAAAAGCTTCTTAAACTAGTCTCCTTCTTGAAAGAGCTGCTAAGCAAAGGCTTGGCTCAGAAACAGATCTGCTGTATACTCTGGGAAATGATCCCACTGGACCTCAAGAACGTTCTCCCCAACAGGGGAAATGAAAACTTTGTTGATGCCCCACAGAGCTTTGCCAGCGTCATTCAGCTTATAAAGTCAGTCTTGGATAGAATCGAGGATCCCTCTGGCCACAAGGTGTGCCTTTTCTCCTCCCCCCTCTGAGCTCCCAAGAGCAAACATTGCTGATTTTCTTCCACTGTGCATTTATTCCCCACGGTTGCCAGTGGATGCAGAGGTAGTCCATCCATCCACTTGGCCCCAGCCCAGTTGTCAAAAATGTAAGTGGATTCTGATTAGTGCACCAGGGTAACCCATAATCCTTTAGAGGAATCCAAGACCCCGAATTGTATGAAGCTTACATTCATGCTACGAGGGACAGTTAATATCGTAGCAATCCTTTTTGTGTCAAAATAAATGTATTTAATGGACTGGAAGCCAGCCTTCTGCCGTTGGCACGCTTGCAGAAATCGCAGACTTAGAATCAAGCTTGAACAACAAGCCACACGGGCTTTTGGGGTGTGTGTGTGTGTGTGTGTGTGTGTGTGTGGCCAGTCCAGTCTTTTAAATCTTTCCCCCAAAGCCTTGCATTGAGTGTTGGAGAGAAACAACAAATTCTGAGTTCTAGCTGAACCTAAGGGTTCTGGGACCTTGGAGGTCCATGGAGCAGATCAAACATAACTTTGACCTCGGTCTCATTTCTATACCTCACTAGCCTTGGGTTAAAACTTCTCATTCTTTCTTGCTTGAATATATTCTGCAGATGGTGATCTTGTACTCCTCCAAATATCCTCTACTTAGGATAGGGATAGGGACAATGACTTCAGTGGAATAGGGATCCTTCCAGATGAGGGAATTCCATCTACCAATGCCAGTCACCACCCCCTCTTCAATTTACTGTCTTAAAGAGTTGTCCGGCGAGCAGAGAAGTGTCCAGGGTCACATAGATAGTATGTGTCTGAGATGGGACTTGGGTCTTCTTAGCCCCAGGGTCTGCTCTCTCTACTATACTGTGCTGCCTAGCCAGGATAAGAGCATTCTTCTCCTTTTAATTAGGACATCACTGAAAGATGTGAGCTCCACTGAGAAAACTCTCAGGGGCCAGCCATCCCACATTCTGTATTTTTGCCTTAGGGAATATTGCTTCAAAAAAAATCCCATCTTCTGAGGTTTAGAAGCCTTTCTGTTGTATACAGTTTGGGTTGTGATAATACATGTCGTTATGAGATTTAAATGGTATTATAGGAACCTAGTAATTTAGTGTGATAAACTATTATATCATATTTTTGAGGTTCCTATCTCCCCCAGCCCAAGGTTGAATTTGTTTGCAGTCTCCAAACGACCCTTAACCCGTTCGTTAGATGTTTGGTTTTCCGGTGTCTCCCCCACCCCACCCCACCCCTACTCCCCCTCATTAAGTATTGGGCCTGCAATTTGGGCATTGCGCCACCATTGGTATCTTGGACGTCTTGCGCTGTGGTGGGCGTTCTGCGTTGGATTCAAGTTTCTTCAGATTGATAACTGTGAACTTCCCGTAATTTCATTTACCGGATGTATTGTTCTATAGTGAAACATGGGAAACATTAATCATACATCATAATTGTAGATATTATTTTTAAAAACATTTCATAAGTCAGCTTATTTGGTACAATTGAGTACCTTCTCATTAGTCCAATAGCTTTTTATCCTTTTTTCTGAAGCTCATTGAATAGACTTTCATTAAAATAAGCTTCAGTAACTCATCAGCCACGTGGTTCTTTCCCATACTACCCCTGGTTCTTTAAGATCTCAGACTACTGCATCAGACTGTCATATCAGCCTCTGTGTTACAAGGCCTTGAGAATCCCTTGGGGCAGCTTGACCTTTGTGAGAGTCCATTAAAAAAGGCACTAGTCTGCCTTTTTACCTTTCCTGCTCTCGGAACATCTGTCTGCCTTCTCCCATGTAGTAAAAATAGGGGGGGAAAAAGGGAGAAAATCCAGTGTGGCCCTTGGGACCCCAGAGGCCCTTGCGATGAGCCTTTGGCAATCTGAGGGCGCTGATGCTTACCTTAGAATGGCCTGTCTTTCCTTCGAAGTGCACGGTGGCTGTGTAACCTGGCTCCTGGGCAGAATTCCTAAGGGCTCCTGTGCAGTAACTCTTACACTGGACATTCTGAACAAAATTTGAATTAGATATTTAAAGAATTAGGTGGTGTTTTTTTGTGGCAACCTTTAAAAAAAATTTCCCATTCCTGTTGTGTTCCTGTTGAACAGTTAGCAGTAGCCATAATAATCACAATTATAATAATTTGCATTTATGTAATGCTTTAAGAATTATAAAATGTTTGCCTCGCAGCACCCATGTGAGATGTAGAATGTACACATATTATCCCCATTTTACAGATGAGGCAACTAGGGTTCTGAGAAGTAAATTGACTTAGGGTTTACTCAGACATTGTTAGTCAGAAATCGAATCCAGGTCTTTTGACTTCTAGTTCACTTTTTACTCTCCTACCACCAGTCCTTGAAATACCAGGTTATTAAATTACAATAAAAGTACTGCCACTTATCTAGTGCTTTAAGGATTGGGGAGTGTTTTATCCCAATTATCTCGCTTAAGTCTCATAAAAGTCCTTTATGGTAAATACTGTAGCTATTATTCCCATTGCACAGAGGAGGGAAACTGAGGCTCAGAGTAAGGGAGGGATCTGGCCATGGTCACATGGTGTCAGTGGCAGAATCCAAATCTTGGTCCGTCTTGACTCCATGTCAAGAAGTTTCAGCTGCCCTCAGATGCATGTCTGACTTTCACCATGTTTTTTTGATGTCAAACCTGACCTCTCTCTGCCTTACCCACACTCATGGCTGTCGACAGTTTAAGGAATAGCTTTGTATTCAAAAATCAGCAGTTGCTGCAGAGAGAAACTTACCGGTCAGAATAGCTGGGACATACCCAATCCTTCTGGGGGCTGTAGGGAAAAGTGCTGTATTTCAAGTCAGGAGAAGCTGATTTGAAGCCTATCTCCAGCACTTACCAGCTGTGTGACCACGAGCATGTTACTTTCTCAGGGCCTCAGTTTTCTCATCTGTAAAATAGGGAGATTAAATTCTGCAGTATTACCCTCACAGAGCTATGAGGTTCAAATAAGATAATGCATAGAAAAAAATGTGGAAAACAGTATTATTTAAACGTCACCTATTGTTATTATTAATTCTCCAGTGTATATAAAGCTCTAGTCTTAGAACATCCCTGTGAGATGAGATTGAAAGTCTTTATTTCTTCTCCCCAAGCTCTTGGGCGTTCTCTCATGCTTTCCCAGTCTTGCATTGGGCACAGTTTTTTCATGGCTCCTTCCTCAAGTGCCTCTTCCTCTAGATGGACATTCATCAGTGTAACACCTTTCTCCCACACTTACTTAGCATCAGGCATTCTTGCTCACTAGAATACAGGTCAAGGAGTAAGGCCCGACTCTCCAGGAATTCATTTCTTCTTTATAAGGTAGCTGTCAAGCTCCTTTTAAGACCAAAGTCTCTTGATGAGTGAATTGCTGTAATATATAGGGGACCCCTCCGGGCTGGGCATTATTTCTGCCAAGTTCTTGATTCTTAAGAACCCCCAACTAGGTCCTGGTTCAAGCCTCGTTGAGTAATGAGGTTCCATCATCATCATCATAACTATCTTCTCTACTGTGACAGAGTGGTTACTAGTAATGAAGATGAATGACACGTCCCTTGTTTTCCATAGATCAGACTTTCTGGGACACCATCCCTTTTTGGGATAATTGTGTTCCACTGTGGGAGAAACATCCTCCCCTTTTCAGATTATAAAATCTGGATTTTCCTTTCTCGGAATAGAATGCTCTTTCTTCCCTGGAAGCCAAACCCAGGCTTGGTGTCAGCCATTTTCAGAATCTAATCTATGTATTTAATATAGTGCTTCTCCCCTACTTTTCTTCACCCAAGGCCTGACTCCTTCATTGTCTGCCTGCTGGCCTCGGACTAAGAATGTGATGACCTGAAGTCAGAAGACTTCAGAGAGATGGAGGGCTTTGGCCCATGGTCACCCAGTGTCCGAGGCACGCTCCTCCTGGTTCGGTACTTGGCTCTGTGACCTGCTACCTGTATGAGCCCTCTCTAGGTCTCTGCAAAATGGAGGAAATGCAGTAAATGACCTCCGAGATCCCTTCTACAGTTTGACCCTTCCATTCTCCAGGCCTTTTTTTCCTCTTGTATAAAAGAAGGGATTGGACTGCATGATCTCCAAGGACCCTTTCCACTCTAGGTTCCCTAGATATTTGCTCCACTTGATTTTTAAGCCAGTGAGAGAAACTGTTCTGTTGATATCATATATGTTCAAGCAGATGATAGAAAGATGGCAGCTACATTTTCCATTGTGGAGGTTGAGCACTTCTCAGGCTCTACCTTACAAAATTCCTGTCTTTCTCCAAGCCTAGAATTTGGCCCTTTTCCCAACTCTTAGCTTCAAGGAGGGATGAATTGTACATTCACTATTCTTTTGTGGATACTCTGAAATTCCCTTTTGAAAGGCCCAGAGAATACCTCTAGGACAGCAAGGTGTCCTTTCCTCATCTTTTTTTCTTTGGGGCAACTGAATAGAAGGAAATAGAAAATAAGCTTTAGAGTTATTTAGAGTTATTCTTCAGGAGAAGCATTCTCAAAGAGGCTTCTATTCCCAGTCGAAGTTTGTTCAGTTAAGACTGGGAAGCCTCCATCCTTCTCTTGAGCCTTCTAATAAGAGCACCTAGCAGGTATGTCTTAAGGAAAGTTGAATTGGGGTGGAGGGTGAAGATTAGAAGTTGAGGGAAGGGCCCAGATCAGAACTGTGAGAGACAGGAGCCCTAATTAGGAAGGAAAAACTTCACTGTCAGTTATTAGCAGGGATGCCTGTCCTCCACCACCTTTGCCTAAGCAGTCTGTCACTGTGTAACCTTCTGCTGCTTGCCTCCTGCCCCCGAATAAAGCTGGAGGGTGTCCAGAATAGTAACTGTCTTCAAGTGGTCTATTGCACCGTAATTCTGTTCCTTTATTTCCCACTGCCTAAAAAAGTAACCTGGCCTTTGGTGTAGTGGAAAGGCTGTTGGGTTTCAAGTTCAGGTGGTACTGTTGCTTATTTGTGTAACTTAGGAAAAGACCCTCCCCATTCTAGGCCTCAGGTCACTGTTCTATATAATGCAAGGCTTGCAGGAAGACCCCCTCCCAATTTGAAAAAATGATGAGACTGAGATCTAAGTAGACCCATTAACAGGCGCTAGAACATGACACTAAGCCAGGAGTAGACCTGGGATTGATTGATTGATTAATGATTAAATTAAATGTGAATTTGATATATAAAATCATAGTTGCATACTGTATAAAATGATGCCTCCAAACTTGAGTATTTTACCTGCCTCCTGAGAAATCTTATGCTATTCCTTTTCCCTGATTTAAATCAAACATACTAAAACACATTCCGCTTTTTTCTTTTTTTGTACTAAATACTGATGACTCTCTTCTTTACTTTGAAGTGATAGAGCTCATGAATCCATCTTCTGGGATTACTAATTGGCATGCTATCATTTCCTGTCGTCATTTCCCAGTGTATTTTTTAATATTTATATTTTATGTTGTATCCCAAAACTAACCCTCCTTTCTCCTTTCTGGGAGATGAGCTGTATCCTTATGAATAAGATTTGTGTATCCAGGATGCTATCTTCTAACGGCCCCAGTTCCATCAGAATGTGTGCCTGTCAGAATGATAGCAGGCCAGTCAGTCTTAATTTTTCTCCTCTAGTAATCAAAGATCACTTACTAAATCCAGCAAAGATTTTTTTTAAAAGCTCTCATAGAAGTACTATGGCCCTAACTTGAGAGTCATAATGAAATGACTCTTGAAACTGATATGGGAATTATTTCCATATTCTTTGGCTGTTAGACTCTTTCTTATACAAACAGACTTTCACAGCGTGGACCAGAGAAAGTAGTGGAAGAGCATTCTTTTAAAACATACAGCATAACCTTTTTTTCTTTTCATAGCATTAATCTTATCACTGGTCATTTAGAGGAACCCATGCCAAACCCCATAGATGAAATGACAGAAGAGCAAAAGGAATACGAGGCCATGAAACTTGTCAACATGCTTGATAAACTTTCCAGGTATTGTATTCCCGTCTGGGTTTGCTTGGGGTTGTTTTTTGTTTTGGGTTTTTTTTTTTTTAATTCATCTATTTCTTTGTCTCTCCTTGAGAGCGCCCTTAGGATTCCAAAAGTCTTCCATGACGAATGGGAACTAGGTGACCATGTCTTTCACAGCCCTTGTGGCTTTTCATACCTACTATTGCTTGATCCAGACTAATCCAACAAGCATTTATTAAGCCCCTGCTGTGTGCATTGGTTTTCTAAAGAAAAATGAAAAACAGCCCCTGCCCTCAAGGTGCTTACATTCTACATTGTGGGTACACCCTACATAAATAGACAAGCATATACATAAAGAGATCTTCACCTTTTTTTGTGTCCTAGAGCCCTTGGGCAGTCAGTCTGTGGAAGCCTAGGGACCTCTTCTCAGGATCATGTTTTTAAATGCATAAAATAAAATACATAGGAATATGAAGGAAGCCAATGATGTTAAAGTAAAGATGCCATTTTTTCCCATCCAAGCTCACAGATTCCCTCCGCCACCCTCCCCCTCGCCCCCAAGTTAAAAACCCCTGATTTATGTGACTGTTGGAAAAAGAGGGAGAGAGCACAAGTAAATATGGAAAATCGGATACGGCTTCCCACTCTCCGCCTATGGTGGATGTGCCTTCTTGCCGTTTTAATTTGGTAGGTGAAGGCGGCCACTGGCTTAATGGAGCATTCACTGATCTGAGCCTGTCAGTCTTCAGAAGGGGCCAAATGTTGGAACCAATGCATTTGCCAATCATTAGTAGTTCCCCTCCCCCCCCCAATCATAACGTTTGATTTTCATTTTTGACGTCTGATATTAGGCTCTGACCATTAGAGGATCTTATTCCTCTGATACTTGAGGGTTCTCAGGTTTTATCGGCACTTTCTCCACCGGTGCCGATTGTAGCTGTTCTGTGCTTCGGTAAATAGCTTTTGTGAGTTGCCGTGGCCAGAGAAATCCTCGCCCTGGTGGGCAGCTTTGTGGTGATGAGCCTCTCCCACCCTAGTGAGGCTAGTCTGCCAGGGTCAGACATAGTCACCTTGCTTGTGACGCGATGCCTTCCCACCTTAGTGTAGGACTGTCCAGAGGCTGTGCTGGGGGAGCCTAGCCTTGGAGGCTCCAGAGTCATCGTGAGGGTTTCCATGGGTCAGTCGCCCTGACAGCGCCACAACTCAGAACCAGTGCCAGGGCCAGTGGGCACCAGGCCACAGGCATCATCACTAGGTTGGTGCTGTGAAGTTGAGGATGTTAGATTAAAGGCATAAGGGTCTGTATAGATTAGTACTAGGGGAAGCCCTCTGCTGGCTCATTGTGGGGTCCATATTTAATCTACTTTGGATAGTTTTCATCAGCTGCCCTCGGAACTAAGAGATAAACAATGGGAAAAATAGGCATGATCATTCATTTGGTGGGACCAGCTGCAGGGGATGTTGTATGGAAAGACCACAAAGGCTGAAGTCATTCCTCATGAACTAGGTGTCTCTGCTGTATTCCTTGAGTTTAGAGGTCATCAGTGTTGGTGCTATGAAAAAGAGAATTGTAGGGGCAGAAGGATTGAAAGCTTGAGTAGGATGGAGTTTTTGCTTAGCTAATGATAAGCCCCCCTGGCTGTTTCACTCTGGTGTCTTTCTCCCAAGGTGTTCCGAGTACATCATCGTCACTTTCATGGGACTAGCAGAACAGGTCGTCCCTTTTAGCCAGCTGTAGCTGCCGCCATCTTGGTTCTGTAGATGGGGAAGGGAAGCATAGAAAGGTTGGATTCTGCTGTGATGTTGTGCCTTCTGGGGACCCTGAGCATTTGCTAAAGCACTGACCAAAGAACTGGCCAAGATGATTATGACCAACCCCTGTGGGCTCTGCACAGAGGGAGTTATTGATCCCGCCTCTTGCTTAAAGATCTGGGACTCCAAGCTGGAAGGAGCAAGACTTGGCAATAGGCAATGGCATTTTTCTTCCTAGGTCCAGGTGCCGCCCTCGCCCTCAGTGAAGCTGATAATATAACCTTCTCATTCTCCATTGAGGCCCCAGGGTTTTGCAGAAAGTAAGGCCTGTGCTTACACTCCTCACCTTGCACCATGTGCCTTACAAATTATAACTTTCTTCGTGCCAAGGTGATTTAAGACATAGGAGGGCGGGCAAAGCACAAGGGCCAGGCAGGCCTGAGAGCCAGCGATGTAACTTGCATTCCCTAAATCTCAGCACACCAAGAATGCCACATACATACTCCGTGGATTATGTAGTATGTGATGGTGAAAGTCCTAAGACTGGCTGATGCCCCCATTTGAAGATCTTACTGTTCCCCTGTAAAACATCCTAGACAGGTTGGAGATGAGAGGCCCTTACAGGTTTGCTTTGTGGAGGGGAGGGGGAACTATTTCTCTTCCTACAGACTCTCATCCAATGAATGGCTCCTTTGATCCTTGGTGTGCGTGCCTCTTATTAGACAGACTTACAATCGCTCTCCTTAAGCATCTCCAGGCCTGAGGTAGCAAACCAAGACACTAGATGCTTTCTCTCTCAGCAAAGGGAGCCCAGGTGGTAGAGGGAGGGGAGGCCTTCTGTCTCTCTAACTCATCTTGCCCTTCCCAAAGTCGAGGAGATGAAAAGCTCCCCTGCAACGCTAGCAGGCGCAGGGTTTGCTTGGGGTGACAGCCAAGCCAGTGTGGCTAATCCAATTGCATTTGCCTTGACTACAGCCCCTAATGCCCCTTACTGCCTACCCCCTGCAAAAAAAAAAAAAATGGTGGGACCGATGGGCTTCCAGAGTAAATAGACCAAAAGGAAAGCCCTGTTGGCCTGTCTGGGGGTTTCTTAAAGTGGTTTCTTTTTACCCCCTTTCTTTTTCATCTTAAAAGCCCTCCACCAGTCCATTGGCCCAGCCACCAGGTACCATTTGGCCTGGCAACAATAATGTTCCCCCTGGTACTGCTGTTGCCTTCCATTTTTGCATTCGTTTTGGGTCAGTGAATGTTGTACATGCCACTATTGGAGATGTCAATCCCAGGGCCTCACACGTCAATGCTTAACCCAGTAGAATGTAGGCTCCTCAAAGGCAGGGCCTGTTTTAATTTGGCCTTTATAGTCCTAGTGTCTGGCACAGTGCCTGGAACACAGCAGGCACTTAATAAATGCTTCAATCATTGGATTAAAACAAACCCAATTACAAAAAAAAAAAGGACAGACATTTATTAGGCACCTTCTGTGTGCAGAACACTGTCCTGGGGACTAGAGGAGCTACAAAATTAAGTCAAGGCGGACTTCTTGACATATTGCACCGTCAAAATCTTTGGTCCAAAACGCCCATCCCCCCCAACAGTTGTTGGATTTCTGTTCCTGCCTCCCCCCCATCCTGACCCTCAGTCAGCTATGGGAGCTCTTCGGCCAGGCACCTCACTGCATTTGGGCGGCGGCTTCCTCCACTGAAGATGCTACCTGGGTATCTAGCGTCCCCTCCCTGCCCTCCCAGGATTCCTCCAGAAACACCCCTCCTCCTTACGCGTGGGTCAAATACTTATTGAGGGTTGTATGGGTGGATCTTCAGCATTTGATTCTTTCAGTAAAACCTATCCTTTCTGTTGAAAACAGATGCTCTCTCCACTATATCACGCTGGACTCTGACGGCCTGGGTTCGTATCCCAGCTCTGACACTGACTAGCTGTGTGAATTTTGGGCAAGTTTCTCCATCTTTCTGAGGTTCAGTTTCCAACTCTGTGAAAAAGCAGTGGCCATGTTGAGACTCAAAGATGGGGCAGCAACCACTTCCCAGGTGCATGTAGAAACGCCCGCTCCTCCCCATCCCCCGCCCCCTAGTGGTGGTCAGCATCCTTTACTTCATGGAACCCCCATCTAGGCTCTAGGATTATGAACAGCCAGTGACACCAGAGCAGGCCAGGAGCACGTGAGACTTTGTAAACGAGCCTTGCACAAGTTCAGAAGGGGACACAGGCGGGAAGGGCAGAGTTGGCGCTAGCTTTTAAAATTTGATGGTAGATTCACGGTTTCACAGGCAAGCCTCTTTTTCTCGTCTGTATACGGAAACGTCCATGTTAATTGACTGTAAGGTTCATGTTAAAAACTTTTATTTAAACGTAAAATAATATAAATGATTATAATATTTGTAGCAACTTTTTCAAAATTTAAAACTAGATTTTAAAGAGAAGGCTAGTTATAGTCTAAGTCATTTTATTCTGTTTGGGAGAGACACAGAGATTGCTGGGAAGGAGAAACTGGTCTTTGCATGTCATTAGTTTGAAATCCATAACCTCTCCTTAGAATGTGAGCTCTTTGGAGAACAGAAATTGCTTCGTCCTTCGCCTTTGCATCCCCACCCCCTACCTACACAGTGCCTGGCACCTAGTGGGCACTTAATAAAGACTTGTTGGTTTAGCAATTGATTTCTACCAATCAGTGGTCTCTAAATTACCTCCTCGGACTAATGAGGGGATACGACTAGAGGATCTCAGAGAGAGTGTGTGTGGTGGAAAGGGCATTGGAATGAGAATCAGGAAGCCTGGGCCCTCTGGTCCTGGCCCTGCCGCTAACCTCCTCTAGGATGTCAGGCATCCCTCGTCCGTGAGTGTCAAACGAGGGCTTTGGACGGGGCGACCTTGAAGGTCTCCACCAAGCCAGATGCCGCCACAGCCCGGTAAGTCGGATGCCCCGGGCCCTGTGTGCTGCCCCCCAACACCCCTTCCCATGCAGCTCTGGAGCAGCCCTGGCTGCCGTGAGCTCTGATCTCAGGCCTCCACTGGAAGAGCTCTCTCAGCAGGAGAGAAACGTCAAAAGAAGACCTTCTTTGCTGGATGTTTGCTCGCTTGGTTTGCTTTCCCTCTGCAGCACCTAAGTCTCCCCCACCAGGGTAAGAGCGTGGTCAGTCGGGACGGCCAATGCCTTATTCCCAGGTGCCAGTGGGCATGCTGGTGTTTCTTTCTTCCCTTTTCATTTGTCCTGTGTTTTTTTTGATGTCGTTACATCCCAGTCATGTCTGTAT